GGAGTGGCTGTAAATCTCAAGGAGTCTCCCTGAGCACTGGAGACCCCAGTGACCAGCAAAGTGGGTCCCTGTGAAGGTGATCAGCTCCCAGGGAGCAGTTTCCCCCAAAAGCCTGGCCTTACAGGCTGCTAAAAACGCTTGGCTGCCTCATGAAAGCTCCTGACTTGGAACGCGTGGCCGTGTCTGAGGAGCAGGAAACGCTCAGTGAGCACACGCCAAAAAGTCCTTGACAGCTGTTAGTACCTCCAGGCTTCGCATTTAAAACAAGCCTTCAACCTGAATTACCTCCTGGCATGCAAAAGTAAAATAAAGCCATTTTTAATTATATTTCATTCCTCGATGTCTGACTATTAAAAGTCACCGCCAGGTGACCCACAGGAAGAGTCAAAAAAGCTGCATGAGGGGGGGACACGAGGCTGCCTGGGAGCAAGGGAGGGACAGCACTGCAAACCCAGCCACTGCAAGGGAAAAAAGGATACTTCTGCAGGTTTTTTTAAGCATTAACGTTTTTATTTCAAAAGTCAAATAAAGAGCGCCGGGGTCTCGACACAGGTTTAGTGCCAAACCAGCAACTTTGCAATTCCTTTGTTATCTTGCCTCAAGCCCTTATCTGATTTTCCAAGAGATTAAGAAATCTTGACATAGTGTTTATTGCCCGAGCTAAAATTTCCACGAGACAACCTGCTCTTTCAGTCACCAGTTTACTGTGGGCTATAAAACCACAACACAGAGGGGTTCCAGCCACTTCACCTTAAAATTGGTGACTCGTGCAGAACACTGATGAAAACAGATGCTTTTCTGCTACAAAGTCAGGATTGTATTCCTGGGTTTAAACCCTACTCTCTGCCCCCTTTCCATTTCAAGCTGCCTCGATATATTTTTCAGAGTTTGCTCCTCTGAACATCATCATGTTCAACATCATCCACGTTGATATTTAGCAAATTATTCAGTTTTAAAAGAGCAACAAGATTTGTCCTGCAGTCACTTTGTTGCCCAGAGCAGCTGTGGCTGCCCCATCCCTGGAAGTGTCCAAGGCCAGGTTGGACAGGGCTTGGAGCAACCTGGAATAGTGGAAGGTGTCCCTGCCTGTGGCAGGGGGGGAATGGGATGAATTCTAAAGTTCCTTCCAACCTAAACCATTCCACGATTCCATGAACTATGGCCATGATGCTCTGGCAACCCCAACCCCTTGGGTCCTTCATATTCCTCTCCTCTTGTCCCTCCATCACCACTTTCCAGTCCCAGACTCCAGCACTGCAACCTCATCCTGCCCTTTACATCCGAGCTGTGCTTCCCAAATCAGAGCATCCCTGGGATCCCCAGCAAGGATTCCTTCAGGGATGCCATCCTCCTGCTCCCGACCAACAGTGACTCGGGAAACCAGGAGCCAGGGAGAGCAGAGGAGTGGAGGTTGTGGGTGGCTCTGGTTATGCACCAACCAGCCAAGGTGAGAACACGCTCACGGGGCGCTGACGGCACAGCCCTTCCCATCTCCTCCTGCCCGGAGCATCCAAGGGGCAGGAGCCCTGCAGCAGCTCCAGGGATGGGGTCTGGCATCACCCACAGTGCCAGCCACAGCACGGTCATCCCACACCCAACACCAGCTCCCGCTCCTTGACGTGGTTTCCAACAGCCAAAAATCCCAACCCTCAGCTGCAGCTCGACAGTCCTAAGACTGAATATTTTCCTTTTTTCTTTTTTTTTAAGGAAAGGCCCAAGGTGAAGCACCTGGAGGAAAGCTCAGCTCTCATTTGAAGCATGGAGCTGGTACAAAGCCCCATCTGTGCTGACACAGCATCCCTGGCAGCCAGGCCGAGGTGATGGACCTGTTCCCAGAGTGACCCTGGGTCACCTCCCGCTCCACCACCTTCCCTTTCCCGAGCAGGCAGCACTTCTGGGATTTTCTTCCTCGTTAAGGAAACATGCTTCACAATAAATAAACCCAGAATAGCAACGGAGCAAGACACAGTCCAGACACCCACCAAAACAAATGACAGCACACTGCAGACACACCTCGGTCCCAGGGAAGAGGGAGGAAACAGGGACAAACATCAGCTGCCCTGGGAACACGTGTTTCTGAAGCACGACAAGAGGGCTGGGAGGTGTGAGCAGCCCCAGCACTGCTCAGCACTTGTGCACCCCCTGCAACCCCAGAAATCACCGCCCCAAGCGTGGCTGCACCCGGTGCAGAGCCAAACAGAAAGGCAAAGCCTTTACAGGAACTCCCACTCCTAAATCCATGCTGTGTTTTGGCCAGAAAAGGTTCAGAAAGGAAGGAAACTCTTCTGCAGCACCGAAGGAAAACACCAAGTTTCACTGATTTCTTTACCAAGCGAAAAGATTCCAAAACAAAACCCAAGGAAAAGGCACTACTGGAAACAGCAATATTGGAAATAACTTTGTTGTCTTTTTTGGAGGGGAACGGGAAACAACAACATCCTTTACAGCATCCTTTGCCAGGGACCGTGGGGCTCCAAGAGCCTCCCAGGCTGCAGAAGCACATTAAACACCGTCAGCTGCACGTGGGAGAGCCTTTGGAGAGCTCAGCTTTCCCTGCAAACCACAGCAGCAAAAAGCTGGGAAGTCCAAAATTAGAAGCAAAGCCCCAAAGGACAGTTCAATAAGTCACGTTGGTGTGTTCTCTCTGCAAGTGGCATCTTTCTGATCCACAGTGAAAAAGGGGGGGAAAGTCCGGTTTCTTCCAAGCATTCCTTTACTCAACCCCACTCAGCAACAGCACCAATGCCAAGCCTTGGTTCCCGTGAATTTTGGACAATTTATTCTTGGTGCAGTCAGGGTGAATCCTTATCACCTTGGCTAAGGAAACACAACCCCTGGATGTTGTACAGATCTCCTTTGCATCCATGGGCACCAAACAACCAGCATGGCAATATTTAAGCTGACTACAACTTATTTCCTACCTCAGTGGAAACTTCTTAAATAGCAAATAAGCCTTATCTCATGCCACGGCAAGGCAGAGCCGACAAAACGCACCCAACACAAGAAGGATCGAGAGAAAACACTTCTTTTAAGCATCTTTATTTTCAAGCCAACGCCGTGAGGTTTTTGACGCGGCTTTAGCGATGTCCCTCGTCGGGGCGAGCCACACGTTAAGGACCCAAAGGGCTGAAACTCCGTTTTATCATTAAATCACAAAAATATCCCGTCTCCCAAACAGCCGAAGGGCTGGAAGCCCCAAACCCGCGCAGCCCGTTCCCGTTCCCGGGGCCGGCCGGGCAGGTGTTATTTTTAACCACGATAAGAAGCGTCTCAAAAAAAAAAAGAAAAAAAAAACCAACAAACACCCCAAAACTGAACGCGCTCCTCGCTCGGGCAACTCCCACCCTCCCGTCGGGGCCGGGGGCTCCGGGAGAGAGAGCCCGGGGCTGGGTAGGGATGGAGGGCGGGGGGGATGGAGGGAGGGGATAGCCGGAAAGGGGGTTTCGGCATCACCCCGGCGGGGACACGGCGAGGGTGACCCGGGGAGCGGCCCCGCCGCCGGCGCGGCCTCGCGGGGGAGCCGCCCCCGCCCCGGTGCCCTCCCCGGTGCCGGTACCTCGATCTTGTCGACGCTGCGGGCGCAGCCCACCACCTTCATGCCGTGCTGCACCAGCGCCCTCGCCACGGCCGCGCCGATGCCCACGGAGGCGCCGGTGACCAGCGCGACGCGGCCGGTCCAGCGCTCCATGGCCCCGGCCCGGCCCCGCCGCCGCCGCCGCGCACAATGCACCGCCCGCCCGCCCCGCCCCGCCCCGCCCCGCCCCGCCGGGCACGCCCATGGACACGCCCATCGCGGGGACACGCCCACCACGAGGACACGCCCAGCGCGGTGCGTGCGCTGAGTTTGCGGGGGCTCAGCCCCAGTGTGGGGAATGTTTGGGTTGGGCTTTGCCTCGCCCCGGGAGATGAGAGTTACCCTGGAAGGGTTTGGGGTGGGAGGGAGCTCAAAGGGCTTCGCGTCCCAGCGCCCTGCATCCCAAAAAAAACTGGGCTGTTTTATCCAAACACTTCAGCTCCACTGGGATGGACAATGGAGCAGAGACCCTGCAAACAACCCCCAGCTGAGTGTGGGATTGGGGAGGGCGAAAACGGGTGTGGAGGGATCAGAGGGCAGAGCAGCTCTGGGAAGGTGCTGTCAACCCCCTCACAAGGGTCAGGGATGCCCAAGTAATTCCCAGAGACTTGCGAAGAAACAGATTAATAGAAACAAAAAAAAAACCCAAACCTGTGAAAAGTCTGACATACAGATATTTATGAAAGAAGAAAGGGTGGGGGAGTTGGTGATTCCCTTTGTTCAAAAAGCACAGAGCCTGGCACACTGCTTTTTGCAAGGATCTGTCCTTTCCCAGGCCAGGTTTGCTCACCTTACACCCCCCCTCCACACAGCCATCCACCTGTGTGACCAGCAGGAATTCATCCTGCTGGGAAGGAGGGCTCAGAGTACAAATATAGACACCCACTTTTACTATGCATATTAATAAATATTCTTTATTTAAATTTTGCACATTGCGCTTTAACATATTACATCCAAAACATTTTGCAAATGGATGTCTACTTTGTAAAATCTTATATTCAGCTCCTTGTCATTCTGTACAGAATTATAGGTACAACATTACTTTGCCACTAGTTTGCTTCTTTGTAAGTCTCACAGGAAGAGAAACATTGAATGAAAAGAGATGGCTTAAATTAGAAGAGAGGCTTGCACAGCTACTCAACTAAAGATACAAGCCTGGAGAAAGAACAAAATTAAGGAAATCACCTCCACCAGCCTCCCCCAGAGGAAAAAAAAAAAAAAAAAAAAAAAAAAAACCAAAAAAAAAAAAATA